TAGGTTAATGCAAAAGCGCTTCAACTAGTGAACGACCTCAAGAAGGTCGATACTGAGTTTATCCGCACTATCTCGTGCAGTGTTAAAAAGGTTAGTTTCCAGAATTGTTCTTAGTCTTTCGTCGTCAACTTTTCATTACCGACTACCAAATTCCTTTTCTTCAAATTTCTTGTTTCCTTTTTCGTTACTTCATGACCCACCACTATACCGGAAGTTCGTTAACAATTTCTGGACCAAAAGAGTAGCTATTTTTAAGAGTTATCACTCCTGCTTTGCGACTCACTTTGAATTTGATGAGAGATAAGCGCGTGATTTTTTTCCTTGCGAAAATCGTCGAGTTTGCTTTTTGTCTAACATCCTTTCCATAGTCTAAATTGATCAGAAACTAAACTGCAAGTAATACGTCATCAGCAACGAAACATAAAGCGAGGAGTACGCATCAAAATGATATCTAACATAGCAACATAAAGGATAAAGCACTCGGCATTCATCATTCCTAGAAGGATGCGCCATGTATTTGTTTTTGACTCTTAATTTCGTTTAAGGTGATTGAATGCATATCTGGCTCTTACAATGACTCGCAGTGGCCTCACGCTGCATCGAGTGCTCCTCATCTTCTCAGGCAAGTTTGAGAGCAGTCCGCTAACAAATTACCAACCCAGGAGTGATGGATGGCTTGGTGAGCCATAAGAGGTGATCGAATCATCGACCTTATGTGCGACGCAGAGTACTTCTAACCGTTGCACCACATGCGTTCAACATAGCAACACATATTCAAGGATATCCAGTAAAAAGCGGCAAATTTCAAAAATGCACAAACCGCATTCACTTTTGCACCAGCCTGATGTATTCTTGTACTACAAAATATAATAGAAAAGTTTATGTGATGTGAAGTGTGAACATTAAGATTGTATACTGCCATCAACTTTCGAGAAAAAGGAAACTGACGCTCTTGGCGCTGATGTACCCATGGAGGGATGCGCCATGGATTCTATTTCACCAAGCATCGGGTGAGATGAATGAATGCACACCTGCCTTACACAATGACTGGCGGTACATGAGCACGGAGGATTGGAAGGACTAGTGAGCCTTGAGCGTGGTGGCATCGTACCATCGCCCTACCTCGATGAGCACCTCGTATTGCTTGGTATGCAAAACATTCGACCTTAGGCGGGAGTCGAACCTGCGTTTCACCCTCGCAAAGGCGAGTGCTACCCAGTCATATTGAGTTGTCCCCTGAATTTTTTCACATGAGTATTTCTTCCTATTTTGAATCAGGTCATTATCAAAAGGTAGTGGTATGTCTAAAAATGCTCTAGTAGGCAGTTTTAGCTAAGAGATAGGATCCAAAGCAAGGATACTAGCAGCCAGACCCGCCATCCTAACTACAGCCAAAGTTCTCAGCCTGGAAGATTATGCTCTCGCTTTTTGGGATTGACAGGGTATGCTGTTTTGGAAACTGCTTGACAAAAGACAGACAATCACTACCGGTGTCTACGGGAAGCATCTCCGGATCCGGGCAACAGCAGTGTGAGAGAAGCGATAGAAACGATTCGGGGTTCTTTTCAGTCACGAGGGGACAAAGGAAAAACCGTTCTCATTTGCTCGGCAGGAACTTTTTTAGGTGTGTTAGTAGCCATTCGAAAGTTGAGACTTTAGGCTACAGTCCCACGTCGCCGCTTTCCAGAAAAGACTTTTTTTGACGTTGCTACAGGAGGAGATTTCTTGGTTCCAGACACGCTTATTTCTCGCCGGACGAAGCTCTTTTTTGGTGTCAGTAATCATCAATATCGTAATCGAATTTGATACCAATGCTGTGCTTATATTCTGAAAGGACCGTTTCTCTGATAGGCAAAAGTAAAATAAGTTGAATTCCCATCTGCTATCAATGGCCTCATTGGCCAGTTGAGACGTGTGCGCATCAGTCTACCACGTGAACTGCTGACGTGATACTTCTCTACGCGTTTAAATGCCCGAAAAATCGATGATCGTCGCGTCATCGAACGTGGCTGCCTCAGCCAGCCCAACGTGAATTGATCTATTGATCGCAGATGGAAATTCAACCTACTTTCCCTTTGCGTCACAAAAAAACGGTCTTTTCAGGATACAAGAAAAGCGTTGGAATCAGCAACGAAAACACTATCGAAAGATTGCTAATACTTTACAAAAAGAGCTTTTTCCGGCGAGGAATATGCGCGTGTGAAGCTCAAGGAGTTGCCTTCTGTAACAACGTCAAAGAATCATATTTGAAAACCGGCCATGTGGAGTTGTAGCCGAAAATCTAAGCTTCCGAATAATTACTAACTTCTATGAAAAGTTCTTATATAGGGAATGAGATCGGTTTTTCATTAGTCGGCTCATAATGCGGGAACCAAGCTTTTTCATATTTTAAATCAGGTCATTGCCAAAAAGTCGTGGTATGTTGAAGATTGTTCCAGTAGCTCTAGCAAGGTGATAGGATGTTCGTCCAGGATACTAGCAGCCAGACCCGTCAGCTCAACTAAAGCGTATGTTCTAGGCTTCAAAGATTGTGCTCTGGGTTTTTTGGGACGAACAGGACATGTTGTTTTGATAACTGCTTGACGATAGGCAAACAATCGGTACCGATGTCTTCGGTGAACAACTCTGGAAGTTGGTTGCAGCAGTGCGAGAGAAGCGTCCAATAAATAACTATCTATCGCCCTTCTCCAGTACATCACTCGACCTCACACAGCAAGTCGACTTATCATGCTTTGTAGAAAATCTGCTAGATCACGGTATGGCATCCAGCGCATAGTCCTGATATTGCACCGTCGGATACCAAGTTTTCTGCACCCTGAAACAGCTTCTACGGGAACATTAAAAATTACAGTCAGATCAAACGTGACCTCACCGACTTGCTTAATCTCCAGCCTCATTCTTTTCCAAAGGAAAACATCAGATCTTTCACAGCAAATGGATGCATATTATTGATAATTATGAGGATTTTAAAGCTCAAAGGATAAGGGGTCTTTTATGTTATGCGAGGACAAAGGAAGAAACGACACCTCTTACTGGATAGGAAGTTTTCATAACAGTGTTAGTAATTTTTCGCAAGCTTAAATCTCTAGCTACTGCGCTACATAACCATTTTATGACAAAGGCTTTCTATAAAGCTATAGCAGAAAGAAAACATCTATTTCAACACACGCATATTTCTCGCTGGACAGAATTGCTTTCTGGAACTGAGTAACCATTCGATAGCATTGGTTTCCAGGATTTCAAAGCCGGGCTTATTTTATAGAAAAATCGTTTCACTGCAGTGAAGCAGTAAGAATAGGTTGAGTTCCACATAAACTGGCGCTGTTTCTCGGCTAGTGTGTGGACCGGCGTAGGCAGGTGGCAGAGTGGGGAGATTCTGGCCGTAGATTCCATACGGCGATAGATCGATTGCGTTGGCGCATTTCACATGTGGAGTGCAATTTTTGTTATTCAATTAAAGATTTTTTATTCGCTTCAGAAAAAGCTTCAGAAAAAACGTATCACTCTGATAATACAAGATTTCCTTTACACGTTCGTATACTTTCCGTGCTTCCAGCCACGTATTAGTGAAAGCGCTCGACAAAAGAAAGCATTGTTTTATTTTCAATGCTACAGCGTCTTTAGAGGGTCTTTTCTGAGACGGAGCACATAGCGAAGTAAACAGAGATTTGAGCTTTCCAACGATCACTAACATTCTTGTGTTGTCCGACAAAAGGGTTTGTTTCTTTATTTGCCCTTGAATAATACAAAGGAACCGCATAAAACTCTTGGCGTTGGACAATCCTTGAGCGATGTGCCATAGATTTGATTTCATTCGTGGCCTCATTTGAGACAATTGAATTCATATTTGGCTTTTACAATGACTCGCGGTAGCCCACCGATAATATAAATCGGTACTGTTACTTTCTCAGACAGGCCTGGTACCGATTTACCGACCTCAGAGAGAGGCAAGGCAAGGTAAGACTTGAGCACGATATCAACCATCGACCACATACGCGATGTAAAGCAACCCTAATCACTGCACTGTCCATGTTCATTATACTATTAATCAATTGACCTCTCCCAACAACTATCCAAATTAACAAAAGTGTCGCACGCTGGGAGTTCGTGATGATGAGGAGGTGGAGTAGACCGTCCAGAGTTACCAGCTAGAGATACGGAGGCCGTGTGTTGACTGTCTTAAAAGACTAGAGGTAGCCTTGGTGGTGTAATGGTAGCCTACGCTTCCGGTATGAAAGAAACGTGAGATGGACTCCCGCCGGGGTTAGGATCTTTGCCTATCATTAGTAATAATCGTTGCAGACATTCCTTACAAGCTATCCACCGATGAGATGTCTTAGTTCATTATAAAAGTCTTGAAAAATTCCAAAAGTATAAGGAGGACTGCAATTGATTTTGGTGAGATCTTTACGATTTGAGATCCATTACGATCTTGGTAGTCGGCAATGTCTTAAAGGTATATTAAATTCTTTTCCAGTCAGTTGCAGGACAATTTGTTGAGAAGATCGCTTATACGGCGACTGTTGCCAAGAAGAAAACGACCTATCACAGGAAGATACACTACTTTGTCATCGATTTGTCGAAGGTCAAAAATCAGATCAGTTAGCTAATCGATGAAGAGATGTCGGCCTTACGAGTTCACTGTATTCAAGTCAGGCTTGACGATTTTGAGGCGGTACCAGATTTTACTCCGAAGGTCAGTTTACTTCTTCCAATGGAGCGCTTTTTTACTCTTTTTCGGATGGTCATGATTTTACAAAGATCTACACCTAAGAGTACTGAGTGCAACGCCACAGACGTGACAGCAAACCGGGAGGTAAACCGGCGTTTCACGCCATAAATGAACGGCATGCTACCATTACGCCACTTCGTGAGGCCACCTCCCCACTTTGCTGTCATCGATTCTTCGATAAAAACCGTCGTAGTTGTTAGAAGCTAAGTTTAACCCGATTCTTTGGACACGTATAATTCATTCTTCTTCTAGTGGAAGCAAAGCGATGGCCTCAGTGGCGTAGTGGTGAACGCTCCCCGGTATGGATGAGACACGGGTTCAACTCCCTCTTGGTGCCTGATGTCTTGCATATTACTTAGTAATTCTAGGAATTTCAGCGCATCTCGTAAAAACCAAGTGTCGTTTCGCTCAGTCGACGTGTAGTCTTCAAAATTTACCTCGACACCCCTATACGAAGGTCCGTTTGTATTAGATCTTCTCGTAGATTTTGGCACCAAAGCAATAAATATAAAAATTACTAATTTACATAGATTACTGGCAGTCATTCGATGGCCTGAATCTCGACAATTTCGATGCTATGGCTAGTTTTTGAAACGGCCTGCATAGAGCGCCGTTAGAGCAAAAAGAAAGTCATGTTTTGCAGTCGAAGTAGTTAGCTCTTCGCTTGAACTTTACAGCGGGAGTATTTGGCAGTCTAAGGCATAAAAAGTTTTTGTAATTTTAGAACGACAGAACAAAGTCTTCTCTACAATTCTCATACAAAAACTTGAAAATTTTCCTAAAAAGGGTTAGAAATTTTTAAAGAAGTAAGAGAAATCGCTCTTTTTTCGAAGCGGTTGCTGAAATAGCTACACCCAGTCTCACTTATTTAGAAGTTTTTCTCCTCTTTCCTGAAATATTTATATGTTTTTGTATACTAATTGAAGAGGAGACTTTGTTCTACTGTTCTATAGGTACGAAATTCTTCTTCTATGTCTTACATTACTAAATAAACCTGCTGTAAAGTTCCAGCGACGAGCTTACTACTTCGAATGCGAAACATGCTTTGCTTCTTGCTCTACCAGCGGTCTATACAGGCCTTTGCAGAAATCAGTCGTTACATCAAAATTTTCAAGACTCAGACTATCGAAAGACTGCCAGTAATCCATGTTATTATCAAATTTGATGATTTTGCTGTTGTGCGAAAACCTATGAGAAAATTCAACATTTCACAAGTGACGTTTTGAATTTACTGTTATTTCGCTTTAAGCATTTAGAGGCCCATTCTCCCTGAGATTGCGAAATTGTGTTTTTTATCCGATCACGTTTAGCCCTCCTATCCTTCACTCGATCCCTCCCATCGTCTCCTCTCTCATAGACGTCTATCCGTCTGAAATCAAAGTCGCTGGTTTAGTATCGTGTTACGACGAAAAAATTCTAAAAATAGAATAGATCGATTGCGGCTTTTTTTGACGTTGCTACAGGAGGAGATTTCTTGGTTTCAGACACGCTTATTTCTCGCCACGCTATTATAAAGTGACGTTCTCGAGTACGGCATCCACTCATTTGTTGGAGAAGATGGTCTCCGAGAAACTTGATCTTGTGCTGTTTCTTTTCTTAATTCTGTCGTTAGATAACTTCACCGCCCGGTTAGGTAATGCCATGACCCCATATCTAGCATTCAGGTGCAATCGGGACCAATTTCGAAATCCTTCGAGGGCAGTGCCCCTCTTTTCCTTGTTTTATGTATATTCTTAGAATTCATCCGATATCTTGATACTCGGGAATTCTAGTACTATGCTTGGTTTCTGGGAAGTCCTTGTTAGTCCGCTATGGCATTGAAAATAAGATTACGTTTCGCCTTCAGCGCGCATTATCGAGCGCAGGGATTCCGGAGCCACCTTTAAGCGGCGCGAATTTTTTTGTTTATTTGGAATGTTTTCTATTTGGTAGAAATTTATAGGACCGCCGTATTGAAACTGTATAGCAAACTTTGCCCTGTCGTTCTATGGGCAATGGCCTTCTCTTTTCATTTTATATTGCCATATAAAGGAGCTACTAAGCCAAAGCCTATTTAGGCTGATCCTAGAAGTGTGAACCGTAGACTTCTTTTAGCTCTAACACCACCTGTGAAAACCTTTTCAATTTATTTGAATTTCAAAAACCAAACTTAGCCTTAGAATCATCTAAGCCTGTGCTATCAAATAAGTAATTAAAATATGTCGAAAGACCATTCATGAGCTTTAATAGAGTTACAAATACACGTGGAACCATGATCGCATTTTGAGCTGCACACCTGGTCTTACTTCTGCTGCTACAACATTTTGAGGAGACTTTCGCAAATAAAACTGTTTATTGAAATCACAGAGATTCAGGCTACAGAATGGTTACTGAATTTTTAGGCAGAAGTAAAGAAGGCTGTGTTCCAAAGAGTTGAAGAATGAGTCTCGATAACGGGATTGTACGGCATTTCATTAATTTAAGCCAAACATAAGTGTACTCGTCTATAGAAGAAAATTTGAGCTTTTACAAAATGAAAAAGATGGACTGTTTCGTTTGTGGAAGATATTTCTTTGAAATATGATTCTTTGAACTTTGAAACAGCGAAATGGTTCAACCGTTGGTCATCTTTCCGTACTTCCTGGTCGATGTCGGAACTTGACACCCAGTACTTACCATCACTACCAACCTATGAACTTTCGCTACAGAAACATTGGTATTATTCGGTTAACGTGCAACACTTTACAACTCTTTGGGAACAAGGATTTTCTCTCTTTTCCCTCAGACTTATGGCAGTAATTTGGTAGCTCAGATTTTGGTCAATTCAATTTTACTTTAATGTCCTAAAAAGACTTTCTCGAGGCGCTGCAGGATCAAAAACTAAAATAAACGCGCATTTCTCGTCAGGTAGGGTGTATGACTGAGGCGAATGTAAATTCGCTACATTCGCATCAAATGAGGTGCCGAGTGTGGAAACTCAATCTTACCCTTATTGAAACAGCGGCCTACGAAAGCGTATCGCTGAGAGTTGAGCCATCAAATGACTGGTGGAAGTTCTAGAAAAAAACTAGAAAGTTTTAATGACTACTTCTCATGCATTTGAGTTTTCGTCTCTATTATCGTTTCGAGCAATTTCTTGCGGTTATTTTGATATATATATCACTTGTACCAAAAATGATTGCTGATGCTGCACGGGTACCGTTTACGGGTCAAGTGCTGCTATTGTCGGGGACAGCTCATTAGGTGGGTGGATGCTTTTTTGGATTAGAGAATTTGGTTACTGCAGAAGTAGTTTGTTTGAACGACGCTGTTTTATAAAAGACTTAATTATCGGAATCTAATTAAGTTTGTTCATGAGTGAATAGTTTGGTTGAGAGTTGGATGTGATAATGCGAATGGCTAAGGACGGCGATCATCGACAATTCGGTGTCCGACTTTTTGGGCCGAAAGTGAGTTGTTGAAGTGTCAGTACAATTCAGTTCTCTCACTCTATCTATCATAATTTTGGCCACCAAGCCTTTTCTGCCTTCTTCAGACTTTTATTAGTCGCTCGGTAGCTTAAATCTCATCCGAATACTGTTCTTGATAAGCAGCGCGCAACAACAGTGGAGCTTGCAGCGATGATACGATTGTAGAAAGAACGGCTAGAGAGTGATTTTCAAAGTTTAAAGCTGGAGAGAACAGTCTGGAGGACCAGTGGCGCTCGGGATACCCACAGGAAGTTCCATCAATCTTGCGCGCCACTTCACTAGCATTTTCTTCTACGCGCAATTCGTACATGAGTAGCAAGCTATTCCGTTCTCACAACAGCTCCATCTCAAAGGAAGTATAGGCAAGTTGTATATCAAAATGTTCGCAAGAACATGGGCCATTGAACGATACCATCATACAATATTAATTACTTTTAGCTAAGAAATTCGGTGTTTATAGTTCCAGTGCCAAAACTCATGGAATAACTCAACGAGATCACGTTCCCGACCTTTTACGCATTTTTTGCCGGGCTAGGATCAGTGACACTTTGACGCGAATTCTAGTAGTCACCTGATAGCAAGAATTCTGATGATTCTGAAGCTATGTTTGGTTTTTGAAGAGGTTTTCACAGAGCGCTAGAAAGAAAATCACGTTTCTCACTACCAGAGTTTGACTTAGACCTCATGGCGGTTATTTCGCAATCTCAAATAAGAGTAGTAGCTTGATCCCATAACACAGAAAGCTGGGATAAAGTTACTCTCTTACTTCTAATACGGAAAACTCAGAAATTTCATTATTCGATTGCTTTTCTATAGGCTCGCTCAAAACGATATAGTCTGGTACTGATTTAACATGTTTAAATCGTTTGTGAGGCTTAAGTGCTAGACAGGCACGTGTTTCGTCCTCCAGGATTCTTCAACAGCACAGTCCCTTGATTTACTTGATCCTTTGAGGCTATACACCTCTATGAAGAAATCGGCACCGAACAATAAGTCACTGCAAAGCAGGCGACACCTGACTTGTGGTGATTTATTACTCGGCGTCATTTTATCATGAAGTAGTACAGCCTAAAGGGATTGGCTCAAAAGGGGTAATGTGATATCGAAGAGTCGTAGGGAACGAAACAGGCACCTGTATAGTACTTCGACCTGCCAAACGGCTCGAAAAACGTCATGTGATTCCCAGAAATTTCTACGAAATGGAGGGGAGGGATTTAAATAAAATCGAAGATCACGCCCTTTCGACGCAGTTCCAAGATTGTTGCTTGCAGCGCGATTCGAGAGACGCGATATTGCTTGCTGGGAGTGAAAACTTCGATTTTATTTGCGCTGCTATACTACAGTCGGTACAGCTTCTCAAGAGCCAAATTCAATATCAAAATTGCTGAGGTTCAAATTGCGAATAACCATTGAAAATCCTAAGAAGGGCGAAAATAGCCTTGTCCTCAGGTGGTTCAAGTGTTTCTTAAGATAAGGGAAGCGTGCTGGAGTGTATTGGAAGGCGTAGATGTACGGCAAGTGCAAAGTTCTTTCCATAAAATTCTAATCATCAGAGACTTCCATTTTGGTCAGGCAAGTTGGGCCTTCGCGGTGACCTCATAGCAGCGTCATGTGGTAAATATGCGAAGAAATCGGTTGCCGATGAGTTGAAAAACTACCCAAATTTTTTGGAAAAATGTCACTTTAAGACTTTTACTCATGATAAACAACAGTATCGGACAAGTATGTTCGTGGTTCTTGCTGTTGATTGGTGCTATGCACTTTTTTGATTTATAGTAATTTTGCTACAAAATCATTCAGCCTAATCCATTTCCACCGTCTTAAGACAAGACCTTCCTTTTTTTTTAGGACTTTATTTTCCGGACATTAGTAGTTATTCATTAGCTTA